TTGCCCACATAGCGACTGCATTTTGAACGGTTTTCCTCTATTACGAGGAAAACCAAATAATGGCTTTATTTATCTCCATTATTTACTGCTTTCTTAGTATATGGGCTACTAAAGTGCCCTTTCCTAGAAGTTAGTAATCTGTTCCATGTTTCTTAACTGTAGGGTCGTTGTTTTTTTGCTTTTGCCACCTTCCAATCTGTTGTTTAAAGCTAGTTTAAGGTGACGTACCTACGTTGCGAACGTAGGCGATAAATTGGGTTGTGTGATTTAAGGTGATAGAGTAGTTTTTTCTATTTAACATATTTTCTACCTTTTTTTAATATTGTTCTTCTCAGTTATTCGGATATAAGGTCATTGCATTCACATTAGAGCAAGTGTCTACGAGGTATAAAAATTGATTCTGCTTCACTTAACCTGGATGTATTCATGCTTTTCCTAGGGCTTAAATTACGGCATAAGCAAAATACCTTGCAGAAACGTTGTCGAAAGCAATTTGTCATATTTGTAATTGGTTTACTTAAATATTACATCAGTATGTCAGCTTTCGCTCTTCAAAACCTATGATATTGTTTAGAATAGATGCTCAAAGCAAAATGTATTCTTTTGGACCTGATATCGATTATCGGTTGCCCAGAATACGATAATCTTTCGAAAACGGGCCATCCTAGAAGATTAACGCCTAATTTCGTAAGCCTCACTTTGTCGGTGTGGCGAAGTTTCAACGATTAATCGATTCAATCTCAATTCACATCTATTATAAACGATGATTCCCTTCAAAGTATTTGAGATGCATGCTGTGAGTTCTATAAGTGCAACAAACAGACAGATAGCACATTTATCGGTAGCTGCTTATACATAAAAATATAGCCCTTAATGCCGTATCAGCACTCGGCCCTTTGTTTATAATAATCATAGTTGGACCTATTTCAAGAGTCAGGTATGTACTCTAAATGAACAAGACATGTTGGTATTGAACTAGTTCAGCCGACTCATATTTGCTACTGGTTTTAGGATAATATCCGACTGTAGCTTCTGTTCTCCATTACATCCCTTTCCGACAAAGTATTTCGTCGTCTTTGCCAGGTACGGGTGGTCTTTTGCGAGGATCAACGGCAAGGGTTGCTGGACTCGTCGGAATGGCATCGGACCAATATCTGGCGACGGTAAGGTTCTGCACTCATGATCCTCATCAGGCGGGCCCACGCGTTCACTGTGCAAGGCTACGTGGACTGCATCGAAATTGCAGAACAGACGGTTCGCTTTCATCTTCTAAGGCTTATTACTGGCCGCATAGGTTAAGCCAGACGGAAGTAGTATGACCTTCGCAGCTGAATAACGGTTACATCAATACAACACCGACACAAAAGTAGGCTAGACTGGATCTGACGGCTTCAGATGTGACGCGGTTAGGTCGTAATCGAATTAGGGAGACGATGAAATCATAAACGCGCAAAACCAGCTGAAGATGTTACTTTTTCGGTAGTCAGTAAATGAGGTTTCTGAGTGCATTATCCACTTACACGTGTCATCGTAATGCAGAGCAACGCTTACCACAGTCGATAGATAAATGAGAACAAAAGACCCCGGCAGTGAATAAGAGCAGAAGGGAAAAAATGTCAGGGATTTCTCCGTGTCCCGCCTGCTGTTCGATGTTGAGAGGTACAAACAAATGTAATTTCTGCTTAGTTTCTTTGAAATTATTTTATGGTAAATATCCATTACTATTGTTATGCTTATCCCTTTGTTGGCGCTTAGCATTGTATCTGTAGAACATATGCTCTTTCCCGCCGCGCTCGCTTACAAAAACAGCAAGTTATTTATAATTACCTATTAAATTAAAGCACAACTCCATATATTTATGGATTGTTACAACACATTGATCATAGATAAAAGAATTTTAAAAAATTATTGTAGTAAAATCGAGATGCTATTCACTTAACGTTCAAACGTTGCAACGATACGCATCATAAGGGTTTGAAATAAACCATCAGCACAAACCGACGTACATTTTCTTTTGGTCATTAGGCAAAATCATTACCATAGAGCAATTATGAGGATCACGTGTTTAATTCCTCTTTTTTAGACGGCTTCAGGAGTGCATAATACGCATATGTTGCCAGCGGCTAACGACGCCTAGCGGAAACTTCGCGAACTTATCAAACTCATGCTAAAACCATGAACCAAGACGAAATTTACCAGCAAACACTTCACATCAAAGTGCTTGTTGTCATTGCAACGAATTTTCTGAACGTAATTGGCATTCGGCGTATACACAAACAAAAAAAACTGGTGTTCTTTCGATTTCGAGAAATAGCGTCGATGCAGCGCGGCGCTTGAGCTGAATCTGGAGAAATGGACAGGAAATATATGACGTTACAATCGACGTCTGCTTATTATATGCCTCAAGCTAATTTTCCTGGCAAAAACGACCTATACTACAAATGGTCTATGGTTTATTTTTAGCGAAGCTTTGTCCTTTAACGTTTAAATGGCATTATTTATTCTGTATCATTTGTTAGCATTTCATAATCACAACGTATATTAAAAAAAAAAAATAACCTTTTACTAAGCAATATTTCAAACATGATACCGAATACATTCATGATACCGATTCAGACATGATAACGAATAACATTTTAGGTCAGTACCTCATAAAAATTCTAAATGTCCCCTTTTGGGGGGTAATTTAGTGGCTTCGTGAGTCTCACATTAGGCACCGACAATCCCGCTGGCGTATGTGCATCAAACACTTCCAAAACCCGCCAGAACCCGCTGGTTTTAAAACTCACTTATCGTTGGCAATATTGGTACAGTCTAAATAACGGTTGTTCCCTTTATATGATTCAATTATATGATGTAATAATATGGAGTGGGCTCCAACGCACATTCACCGACTGATTACTACTATGTTTAAGTGATACTAAAGTGCTTAACCATTTTAGAACTGCTCCTAACCACAAAAGTTGACGGTGGTTGAGTGCTGTCACCCGCTAGAGTAGAACTACGACGAAGGCTAACTATTCTTATATAATACACAGCTCACTAGCCACTCCGTCTGTCAACGCGCCTATCGAAACCTTCGCACTGGGGTGAATAAGAAGAATCATAGCACATTAAATACTATAGATCGATCAATCAATCAAACGTATCGAACCGGCCTTATTTTTTAAACGAGTCTCCGTTTAGACCTATTTGAATCCGCTCCATATAGACAGATGCGTAAAATAATGAAATCACTCTTTTGTTATTTAAACAATTCACTATCGAAATAATGGATAGATCAATAGCAGTTTGTACCTAGGGGTGCGTGGGGGTCAAACGTCGGCACTGAGTAAATAAGTTTCGCTTTTTTTTAGGATCCAATATCATCTTCGTAGAAAGAGCTCTGGCGTGTTTAGGAGATAAAAAAAAAAAGAAGAAATGAAGTACATTCCAAGTTTTTTTATTGTGGAATATTCGGAACAAAAATGGAATCGTAGCAATATAATTTTATACTCCAAATTACATATTGACATTATTGTTGACACTTAATATGCTTTCGTTGGGTTGCGTAAAGAAAGCCTTCTATTTCGCCAAAAAAAGATACCTACTTAAGGCTGATTGTCCTGCTTTGATTAAAAAAAAAAAAGTATGTCAACAACCAACAAGCCTGATTGGCTGCGGGCCTATTTGAGAGAGAGCCGTATTTGCAGTCTGGCTTGCCGTTGGATATTACAACAGCCCGGCGAATCGAAATTCAACTATCGGTAACAGCTCACCTATGGTCCTTTTATGCCCAGAAAGCTAGAAAAATACAACGTCAGTCAGTACAATTGTGCTCCAACAAACTAGCTTTCTACTATATCACGAAAGAAATCCTTCCTATTAGCGCATTTAGCGGCCATTGAAATCGGTGGAACTGTTGTTATACAAAATGTCACCACTATAAGATTCATTAATACAGTAAATATACAAAAAAATCCTCTGTGTTAGCCAAATGAGTGTCACACCATTCGTATATTGTCGTTAATTTAATCATAACACAATAAAACAAAAAAACTACTGACTACTTATGATACAATGCATGACATTAAAATATTTGCATGTATAATTATTGGGTACCCGTACTGAAATCTGAAAAAAAAATAAGGTACCAGATAGTCAGTTTTTTACTTCGAATTTTTAGTCGCATTGCCAATAGTTTTGATTTGCAAATAAAGTAGAAAACCTCATACTGCTGCGCAATTTTTTACTTGAACTTTTTACTTGAATATTTTACTTGAAAATTTTGCGCTATCCTGTATATTCATTGCCGTAACAACGTACACAAGGACTGAAGAGATAGCAAAATGGCACGTAGAAACAATAAATCTCAACGAACACGCAAAAATATCGAGACCCAATTTAAATCGTTTCTTTTTTTGTAATAAGATACCCACTAATTATATTAGCAATCAAAGAAGCACTACGCGTATTTCAGTTTAAATGGAAATCAGTCAAAAGCAGGGGTCGCTGTTGTTACGTCGAGATTTCGCATGGAGCCTATAACGAAACAAAAATAGGCTCAATATAATAATAATATATAATAACAGACCCTAGGTACCAGTAGACAGAACCTATTGCTTGAGCAAAGTAGTACACATATCGTGACTATGCAAGATTTTAAAACGGGGCGAGTCCTATGTATTTCTCCTAATGTTCACGCTTCGGACAAAATCTAGATACATTTTCTGAAATGTCCTCGGAAAGCCACTTACTCTAAAATGATAAAAATGTGTTTGTCAAAACATCGAAATACTTTATTCTATACGTGTAGATGTTTCTCTTGTCCTATAACACAACGAAGGAATGTATTACATAAGTCAACTGTATATATATTGTATATTGCACTTCCTCAGAAAAGTATCTATAT